TTTCAGTTCTGGTACTTGTGAGACTCAGAACTACAAAACCTTTTCTTTTTGACCTCAACTCCAAGGAGAAGATGAGTGCTTGTTTGGTGGTTTGCTATGGTGTAAAGGTACACACAATAAAAAAAAAATTGTTGTGAGATGCTATAAATCGTTGGAGTTGTTGGTGGTTAGGATTGTCACTGGATCGTGTCATGTCGAATTCATGTCGTGTTTAAGTCATATAGCATCAAAGTTTGTTTTACCTCAAATCAACGAATTTTATATTCGTGCACGTTCAAATTAATATTGTAATATACCAAGCGGGCTTGATAGGTCGATAGAATTGACAAGAATTGTTGACCTTGTACTGGGCATAGTAAGGGTGGAGAGAGAATATAATTTAAGGTGGAGCACTGAGTTTCAGATCTTCACTCAGGTGAAGAAAAAAAAAAACCACTTTAGAATAAAATGACTCTTGTCTGAGTACAGTAATAGAGTCAAGATGTAAGGAACCACTCAATTATATATGCTATACATATTATGCCCTAGAAGACCTAGACCTGAACTCCTGGAATCAATTCCATTTTGGGTGATTCACCACAATAAAAATTACCCAAATAGTCAACCTGTGTTTATGCTCTAAGATTTTGCATTCCCTCTCATGCTGCAAAATTCTTTCTACTTTAAATCAAGTCTTGTCAAATGCTAAATTTTCTTTTTAGGTAACTAGAACAGTCTTAGTCATGTACCTCTATAAATTATGTGCATCTGCTCAACCTAAATTTTAGGCAACTAAGGGACCCAAACTCTTTTTTTTTNTCGATAATAACTTGACTGGCACTTTGGAAGAAGACATGTTTCTTAAGCTCAAAAATCTCATCCGATTGCAACTCTCTGCCGACAGATTAACATTCCTCACTGGATGTAGTACCAGGGAATGCCAGCTTTCCAAAGTTCAAGGTTTTAGGACTAACTGCTTGCAATTTAAGTGAGTTCCCAGAGTTCCTAAAATTTCAAGATGAAATGGAGGTCCTACTACTTGCCTGGAACAATTTTCATGGCCTTATACCCAAATGGATATGGAATGTAGGTAAAGAGACATTGGTAGATTTACACATATGTTTCAATTATCTGCCGGGATTTGAAACATTTCCAGCTGTTCTTCCATGGAGTAATCTAAGGATTTTAGACCTTCGCTGCAACTTGCTCCAAGGATTACTACCAACTCCACCACCATTGATACTCTACTATCGTGTCTCGAATAATTCATTGACTGGGGAAGTTCCTCCTTCTGCAATGCGAGTTTTCTTTATGTTTTTGACTTGTCCAAAAATAATTTGGGTGGCTGAATTCCCCTGTTTGAGCAGCTTTAGTGGTTTTCTAACAATACTGAATTTAAGCAACAACTTTGTTGGCACCATTCCTTAGCCGTACAACCAAGGAAGCAAATTGAAAGTGATTGATCTAAGTCAGAATCAGTATGATGGGTTGGTACCATGATCTTTAGCCAATTTCACCATGTTAGAGCATCTCAATCTTGGAAACAATCAGATTGTTGATATTTTTCCCTTTTGGCTGGGACCTCTTCCGGAGTTGAAGATTCTCCTTTTGAGATCGGTTTCATGGTCCAATTGCTGGTTACCTATCACACACTGATTTCCCTAGGCTGCACACAGTAGACCTCTCTTACAATGGTTTTATGGGGGAGTTGCCATCTCCATTCTTCCTGAATTGGAATGGCACAAGACTTCGCAACATGAGGGATTCAACATATGCACAGATAGATGCAACTTACCCAGTGCCGAATTATGATGTTTCTGAAAATTACACATTTTCAATGACAATACGAAACAAAGGCATTGATACATACTGTAGTGCAATCCAAAGTGTCTTTGCAGCCATTGATCTCTCGAGCAGCAAATTTGAAGGGGAGATTTTTGTATCCATTGGAAATCTAAAAGGGCTTCAGTTCCTCAACCTTTCTAACAATGGTCTCTCAGGCTGCATCCCATCATCTTTAGGGAGCCTAACGGATCTNATGGAGGCTCGTATGAGCCATCGTATTGATAACTCAAGGCTCATATTTGAGCTTCAAATCTAAAGTTTTTATCGCTAACTTGAAATCATCTGAGGTGTA